GGGCCATATGCCAGTTGTCAGATGCCTTCAGAGTCAGACATGAGTGAGGCAGAGGAACAGCTGGAGCCTGTTCCCAGTGTGCGCATGGCCAGATGAAGGGAACAGCCAAAGAACAGGGGTCGACTTGAGATTAAGGCCACAAGTGGATGATGAATGGCCCCTCCCAGAGGAAATAAAAGAGGAGCGAAAGGGGAGTGGAGTTTGCAGGAGAAAATTAGTTCGCTTGATTGGTTTGTGGCCAAGTTCTGCAGATATCGGCCTTTCAACTCTCCAAGCCAGATAAGGTCTGTGACTGTAAATACTCCCTTGAAAGACTTTGCTGGATGGGAATGACCAGAATTCACTGTACATTAATAAAAGGATTTTTTTGTCTAAGGGTTTGCTTCCTGCTCTCAGGAAATTTGACTGGTTTTCTTCGGGCTTGAGAGTTGTGTCAGCCTAGGAATTCTGGGAGTTGAAGTCCACAAGTCTTAAAGTTGCCAAGTTTGGAGACTCCGCAATTTAAACTACAATCCCTCTCGTCCCCAGCCAGGACATTAGCTATGCTGGTTCAGGGGATGGCACTTCAGATCCAGAGCGTCTAAGGGATACCAGGCTGGGGAAACCTGAATAAGGCTTCCAATCTTCCAATCGGATCATATAATCTTCTCCGCTCTTCCTTGTTTTCAGATTCCTGCTAATCCCACTCTTACCTGTACGGTCGAAAACACCCGGCCCGCTGTGACCTTTTACTCACGACCCCAGGTGACCTCGTACAACACCTATCACAGCACGCCTCACCTGCCACCGTATTCAGCGTACGACTTCCAGGTAGGGCATCCCGGGGCAACCTTGGTCTTTATCTCCCCATCCAGCTGGGAGCAGATTCACTTTCGTTGAAAGCAGAACCCAACAGAATAGGAGCAGAACAGAACCAAACAAGAGCATGGAGGAAAGGTTACGTAAAGACATGCGCAGCACACTGCCATGATCTCAGTGGCTGTTTACCTCTTAACCTATGAGCTCACCTAATTAGCAGAACCAGGCACTACCAGGAACTATTGAGTTATGGGGGATTCTACTCCGGGTGGGATGTTCTTGGGAGATTGACAAGGAGAATGTGCCAGTTACAATGCTGTTGCTATATGCTCATTGCTTTGCTTGTAAAAACTGTATAAAAAATTGTATAAAAACTATATAAATCCTGCGAAGGCAGGGAGGCATTTTGGAAGGAACCCTGTGATGCCTGGACTCTGGATCCATCAAGAGCAGAACAGAACAAGAGCAGGGCACAGCAACAGAACAGAACAACAGAACAGAAGAGGAGCAGAACAGAAAAACAGAACAGAACAAGAACAGAATTGAACTGAACCAAGCAGTGCAGAACAACAGATCAGAACAGAACAACAGAACAAGAGCAGAGCAGAACAGAAAAACAGAACAGAAGAGAACCGAACTGAACCAGAGCAATGCAGAACAACAAATCAGAACAGAACAGAACAACANTCTCTCTGTCTGTCTGTCTCTCTCTCTCTGTTTGTGTTTGTGTGTATCTCTCTGTCTCTCTCTGTATCTCTCTCTCGGAGCTCTCGGGTTGCTGACCCTGACTCCCATGCCTCCTCCACCTCATCTGATTCGGCTGCTGGAGGGGGCCAGTGCCCAACAGGCCACAACACAAAGTACACACCAAACCACAAATGCCAGGTCCTCCTCCACAAGCAAACCTGGTTTGCTTTGTTAGCCGACGCACACAAAACCGTCGTTTGGGCCTTCTTGAAGTCTTATTCATCTCTTTTCCCAATCTTAACGTGTCATTCTCGAGTTACGACTGTGAGGGAGCCTTCCCCTCACAGTTGTAAATCCAGTCACCCATGTCACTGGCCCAATTTTACAATCTCTTCTGCCATAATTTTTTTTTTAAATCTAGGAGGCTGGGTGGTTTAGCTTTGATACCATTGAAAACGTTTGCTTCTTTCCGTCCCTCAGGATGGAGATTTCCGGCGGCTATTATGAATTCATCGATGTCAACAGTTGCCAAGATATCGTCCACCTCTACCATTTGCTGTGGTCGGCAACGGTGTTAAATATCTTGGGTTTGGTTCTAGGCATCATCACGGCAGCCGTCCTGGGTGGCTTTAAAGATATGGTAAGTCCGAGTGCTGGTAAGAAGTAAGAAGGCCATTTCAGAGACTGCCGGATAAACCACTGCACCGTGGTGGCGCAGTGGATGGAATGAGGTATTGCAGGCTAATTCTGCACACTGCCAGCAGTTTGATGCTGATCGGCTCAAGGTTGATTCAGCCTTCTGTCCTTTTGAGCTGGGTAAAATGAGGATCCAGATTGTTGGGGACAAGAGGCTGACTCTATAAACCACTTAGAGAGGGCTGGAAAGCACTGTGAAGTGGTATATAAGTCTAAGGGCTATTACTATAGCCCTTCCTTCCTTCCTTCCTTCCTTTCTTCCCAGTGATTAGAATGCAGTATCGCAAGCTAATTCTGTCCACTGCCAGCAGTTTGATCCTGACTGGCTCAAGGTTGACTCAGCCTTCCCTCCTTCCAAGATGGGTAAAATGACGGTCCAGATTGTTGGGGGCAAGAGGCTAACTTTGTAAACCGCTTAGAGAAGGCTATAAAGCACTGTGAAGTGGTATATAAGTCTGCTATTGTTTCCGTCCTTCCTTCCTTCCTTCCTTCATTTCATCCTTAGAGCCGAGGTGGCGCAGTGGTTAAATGCAGCACTGCAGGCTACTTCAGCTGACTGCAGTTCTGCAGTTCGGCTGTTCAAATCTCACCG